TTGGCTCAAGAAATTCATTTTCTTCCAGTTGGTGTTCTTGGTTCAAGATTTTTGCTCTTGAGTCAAGTTAAAATTTCTATCAGTGTAGATTTGGTTAGAAATTTAACTATTGCATTAGTCCTCATGGTGGAATTTTCACTTGATTTTGCTATCATAAGTCATAATTAGTCAAGCAAGTTTCAAAAATATCATTGATTAAAAAATTTATACATGTATGTATGTATGTATTTATATATATATATAAGTGTGTAATATGACCGACCTTGTCATCAGGATATCTGCACAAGTTTTCAATCGATCTTGATGAGATAAGACTTGATACATATATTCTTTAGGTAATTACCTTGAACGAGTTCGAAGGTTAGCAAAATCGGTCGATTAGTTTAGAAATAGCGGCCATTTAAAATTTTCAAAATAGTGAAAATCACGTTTTTTGTGGCTTCATTGATGAATAACTTTCGATTGAAAAAAGATAGCTAATTTTCGAAAAATTCATTTAAAAGCTCATAAAATTGCCTTTGATTTCAAATTTGAGTTCAAATAATAATTTGTCTTATTGTTAGTAACATATTCATTAGATAAGTGTTCAAAATTGATTTATCATATTTATTATTTTAAATTTGTCTACTCATTTTTCGCTTGAAGTATTATTTATCTATTATCTCATGAATTATCTTTTAAATCTATTATTTAGCTGTTCAAGAAAGTTCCTATTTATTTTAATAAGATTTTAATAAGATCCTTTTAACTATTGTGCATTTTGATCTTATTATTTATTGAAAAACTTGATCGCATTTCTTCATCTCAAGTAAATTGAGTTATGTTTACAATAAGGTTCTTAATAACCATACGAATAGGGAATTTTTCCATCCTTATGAATAAGCAAATGCATACAGACCCAAACTACCCTTGAAAGTGGGTATTAAGAACTTCGATAAATTTTCTATAAGGATTAATTATTGTTTTTTCGATAAAAAAATTTTTTTTCTATTTTACATGAATTTGAGAAATAAAAAAAAAGGCTTTTACTGGCTTTTTGGAAAATCAAGCGCTGAATAGAATATATTTATAAAACCATTAATGTTGAGAATGCATTTTATAGTTTAATTATTATATACCCACAAAAACCTCACGGAATTTCAATTTAATCCATTTAGACATTTTTTTGTTTTATTCGATTGAATTTTTGAAAAATTAAACGATTAGGTTTTTGCTCTCAAATTCTCATTATCTTTAACAAAAAAAAAAAACAAATTTAACATTTTTATCGATAACAGTGTTTAAATTTGTTGAAAAAAGAGAAAAAAAATTTTCCTGAAAAATTGTCAAAAAATAAATTTTTTTTAGTTTTGAATTAAAAAAAACAAATTCAATTAATTTTAATTTAAAAAAAACCGAATAAATTTTGAAAATTTTTTTTTGTTACGGTATTTATTAATAAATTGGAATTGAGCGATACACGTGACTATTGAAATTTTTTTATCTCAAGGCCTCAAACTAGAAACTTGAGGCTTAAGATTACTTTTTATATAACTCCGGTACAATTATTTTTAACGAAGATACAAAAAATCAGAATTTTTTTTATCACTTAACTTTTTTCTACCAGTCTATCATTACACGAGTTATCTTCTTCAACACATGCATGATCTTCAGTCTTGGTCTTGAACACATTTTTACTTCTTACAGAAACAGTGTTAAAGCTGTAAAGAAAAGATGATTCTCACAGTCAAAAATTTTTCGTTAGTGTGTAGTGTAAAAATTTTTGTGTAAAATATTTAACATTTGAGTAAAATGTCATTCGATACTTAAGCAACATTTTTTAGATTTTACTTTAGCACAGAGCTGTGTTATTTTATCGTTGTATTCGGATTGTATTGAACTAACTGCAACTCGTCAAAAAAGTCATCAAAACAATTCTTCGTATTGAATTTAACGAAAAATTTTTTACTGTGCAAATACTAATCCATAGTTATGTTGAAATAATTATTTATCGTTAGAACTTAATTAATTAGATTTAAATTATTACAAATATTGTGTTCTTATACTTTTCAAATAAAGTGAATGATTTATCATCAAATCTGTAATAAAAAAGATTAATATAAAAAATCCTTATAAATTCTGGAATTCCATTAATCCTTCACCTTTTCATACTTAACTGACACTGCAAAACATATTACTGAATAAAATATTCTTCTATTGTGGAAGTAACTAATGTATGATAGATACACGTTCAGAACTATTCTTAGAATAAAGTAAAAGAAGGAGTAGCATGATACACGCAATGAAGACTATTGATTGATTGACTGGTGTCGATGTTTATAAGAAAATAGACTTACTATTCTTTTTTTTCGATGAACCAAAGGCGATAGAAAAATTATCGACTGCTTCAATATTGAAGAAATAATTTAATGCAATCGTTTTTGCATATTAGATGTACTTTACCTAGAAAAAAACAGCAAAGCGCCACTTATAAAAAATTGCAACAATTTAGTAAATTATCACCTTGGGACAAAGTATTTTTTTTTTATGTAGCTTCTTTTGTCTTGCCACCAAGTACATCTTTTGTAAAAAAAAGTATATTTTCTATAACTGACAGATATGAAAAGCAAATCCATCGAAACACATCGACTATGCTTGAATAAGTGCCTCTATTATTTCAGGTAATACTTTGCAAGTAACTCAACTTATTTTACTTAATAATTTTTGTTCCATTTCAATTGTGCTAATCAAAGTGATTTTTTAAGATTATCTGGAATTTGGATGTCGAATTCGTCTATGCCTCTATACAAAAAATGTATAAATTTCTTTCTTAGAGCGTTGAGCTTTTTTGTGCTAGTGTCTTATATTCTCACATCACTAGCTGATCTCGTTGTCAATCATCATGATATAACTATTATTGTGGATGACACTTGTTTTATAGCTGGAGCAGGATCCGCGTTCTTTAAAATATGCATTGTTATATTCCGTTGTCAGACAATTGACAAACTAATCAATGATATTCATAATCCAATCGATATACTCCAACAATCTAATGGTAAAAAATTTTTTTCCATCTTTATATGTAATATTAATTAAAAGTTGTGTTTTTTTTTATTTTTTAAAATTACACAAAGATAGGGTAAATGCACCAGTTGTTGACCGGTCACCAATTAGTTGACCGATGTATAAAAAATTTAATTAATTAATATTTTACAAGGGTATTTTTTTCTTAAAGTATTAAAATAAAAAAATATGGCATTTAATCATCATAATAAAAAATTACACAATTAATTGCGCAGTGATTATAGCTTTAAAAAAATATTCTGAGTTTGTTTACAACGCAACCAGCCATAAAGCGGTCAAAAATAACTATAGCGTACAATTAGAGAGTGAGTGCATTTCATCATTAATTTAGTGATATTTATCGGCATAATATAAAATATTTTAGTTTTATTATGTTAATTAAAGATCAGATTCCAACTTTTTTGAAAAAATAAAGTTAAATTATAAGTTTTAATACTATTTTAAGACCGGTCAACTATTGGATCCGTCAGAAGCCCTTTACCCAGTAAAAAATTCATTCGGTCATTTATTAGACCCTCTGATTTTATTACAATCCAATTAATGATCGTATATTTATAATACTAACTTCTTAATATCAAAATTAAATCTGTCAAGTGTTTATAAAGTACTTTAGTCGTTCAATATTTTGTAAATATAAAAATAATCATTATAAAATGTATATTTATAATTAAAATAATACTTAAAATCTTTTTTGATTATTAAATTTTATTTTGTTCTAATTTTTTTAGTGAACGGTTATATCAAAGAACGAATTATTAGAAGAAAGAATTGCTAATAAGCAATTAAAAAAATAAAAAAGAGTTACAAGCTAGTAAAAAAAGCTTTAATTGAAAAAAAGAAGAAGAATAAAAAAATTTCAAGTGAATCAGAAGAATTATCGTCATCAAAATGAATTTTTGAATATTTGTGACCTAAAAGAAATGTGACTTTATGTTAATTATTGCTATTATTCATATTATTTTATAAAAAAGTACGATTTAAAATTATATTGTATGTTTATTAGTTTTGTTAAAGATGTCGTTAATACTTCAAAAGTACTGCATAAATTTAATTACATACATTTAGTTTACAAAATTTCTTATAATTATTTGAGCGGTCAATTAATTGGAAAATGGTCGGTCATTTATTGGGTTTCTTCGGTCAATAATTGGTGATTTTAGTATTTCAAGATTCAAATAACAAAATTAATATAATTTTGTTAATTTTTATTATAAATAGCTATTAATTAAGTATTTAACTTTAATAAAATCCATTACAAATTGTTTTTAGTAGGTTAATAAATTTTTTATAGCTTAGTACTGAAAAAGAAAACCTTAATCGGTCAATAATTGGTGCATTTACCCTAATTCTATATAATAATTAAAATATTACACAGAAAAAAAAATTTACTTGAATCAAGGTAAATAATTTTGAAGAATTTAATCTTCTTGATTTGAGTAGAAAATTTCTTAAACTAAGAAATTTTTCTTGGTTTAAATAAATTGTACTTAATTCAAGAACTTTTCGTCTTGATTCAAGGCAATGAAACTTTTCAAAATTATTTTCTTGGTTCAAGAATTTTTCTCTAAGTAATTTTTTTTTCAGTATACTCACTCTAAACATACCCTGAAAATTAATTCAAATTTTCTTCTAGATAAAGGAGCAATAAAAATAATAAAAAAATGTATATTTTTCGAAACACTCGACTATTATTTATGGTCGAATGCAACATTTGTCCTCGGATTCGCCACAATATTTTTGGTAACGTCTCAAAAAGGTGAATTGCCAAGCCGAGCAATATTCCCGTTTGACATAACGAAACCTTCATTCTACGCGATAGCACTTTCTATTCAATTTTACACCGTAATTTATGGACTAATTAGCCTGATGATGATTGAAATAACCTTGTGGGGCTTATTGAGATGGACGACAGTTCAAATCGAAGTTTTGTCTTACAATTATAAAAACTGCAATCGATATTTATCGATACAAAAGTCATATTCACCTGAAACTAAACTTGCCGTGAAGAAATCTCCAGTTTATGACCCAGAAGATGAAGAAATGGAAATAAAACAATTCTTATTGTTTGACGATGATAAACATGATGCAGTTGAGATCAATTGTTTTCAATGGAGAATACGATACTGCATAAAACATCATCAGAGAATTGTTGATATCATCAATAGACTCAATGATACTTTGAGTTCTTGTTTGATGGCCCAGTTTGCTGTTAGTACTTTGATTTTCTGTCTGAATGGTTTTCTTGCAGTCACAGTGAGTATTTTTATTGCAATATTTTTTGTTAACTATTATTTAAATTTTTAATTATTTAAATATAATACAGTTTCCTCATGATAAAAAAAGATTGATGAGGTCGATTTTTTTCCTTCTAGTAGGGTTTATCCAAATTTTTTACTGGTGTCGCTTCGGTAATGAACTCAAATTTCAGGTAATTTATGACCATTATTGTTATGTAATTTCAACTGTCCCTTGAATGAATAATTAATAACAAATTCGATGATAATTGCAGGCTGATTATTTGACGACAAGCCAGTGGATGTCTGGCTGGGAAAATAATTTCAATAGCGAACTAAGAAATTACATTACTGTGGCCATGATTAGAACAATGAAACCTGTTGAAATAAAAGCCGGAGGTCTCTTCGTTCTCTCAATGGAAACATTTCTATCGGTAAGAAATTAAATTAAAATAATTTGTTAATTAGAATACACATTTAAAATATAAAAATTTTTTTCCTTAGATTTTAAAAAACTCGTACTCAGTTTTTGTGCTTCTAACTACTGTTGAGGAATGAATTTTAAGTATTAAATAAACAACGAGCTTAATAAAATAGTCAGACTACATGACTAATGTAGATGTAAATACAATGTTAAAAATAAGTATAGTAGTATAGTTATGTATTAAAGATATATAATTAAAATAAATTATTTCATTGTTATCTATATTTTATTGCTGTGAAGCTTTTGAACTTTTTATTTTGTTATAAAAAAATTTTTCAAGTTATTAAACAATATTTTTTATAATATGAACAGTATCTTTAAATGTCCTACAATTAATTACTAAAAAATTTTTCATTTTCACAATGTTATAACTTTTGGGTAAGGAAAAACCATCAATTATTGACATTGTAAGAGACATGGTGAGGGTTTCATTTTTTTTAACATATTTAAAATTAAGATTGTCCAATTTTTTGTTTTACATTATATTAATTAATATTTTGACTAGGTAACAAAATCAATGCTTTTTAATAATATTTTCTCAAGTTTAATAATTAATTTCAATCGACAAAGTCAATCATCCGGAAACACCAATTATTGACACCCTTAATAAGCATGCGTCGGTCACCATTCATCTGATCTAAATACAAAAAGTCAAGTCTGAAAAAAAAGATTACACCACCGTATAAACTCACCTGTCAATATGAGATACGACCTATATTCTGTGTACCTATCATTGACACCAATTATTTTATAATTAATAACCATTCAGTAACCATTCAGTATAATTAATAACCACCAGTTTAAAAAATAATTAATAAAGTAAACTTTATTATTTTAATTAATGAATATCATATATTTTTCTCAACTATTAATTTTTTTTTAATTCTTAAATCATAGTGATTGTATAAAAAAATGAACGGTTGTTATTAATATTGTGTATAATGAAATAAGATTTAAAATAAAATAGAGTGTCAATAATTGGATCCCTGTCACTAATTGGTGCCTTTTGTCTTACTCCATTTAAAGTTATTATTTTATAAGTATGAAGTGTAACTTTTTGTTAGCATACAAAGGAACTGCAGCAATGCTCGAAAAGTTATCTAAACCGTGTTAACTATTATGATACTGAAATTTGCAGACATTTGATAATTTTTGAAATTTTTATAACTAATCAATTATTATAAAAAACATATTTTAAAAAATTTGCACTAATAATTTTTTGAAATTTCTACGCGTGGAGTTTTTTTGCTAAATTTTTTTTCATTGTAATTTAATTGTAATAAAAATCTAAAAAATTGTTAGATGTCCGTTAAATTCAGTGTCGTTAACTAATTGTTATTGCAAAGATATCATCATCTTTTTGGGTTAAACTTTTTCAAAATTAATTGTTAACAATTTATAAACATTCCGAACTATTAACACTCTCATATCAACCTATTTAAGGGGGGAAATATGTGTATAAGGCCGTTTTCATTCTAATTTTCATTAATTTTTTTAAGGTATATAAATTAATATTATTTATTGAAACTATCAGGTTATTTTGTACATATATTTATGAGTATTTTTTCGTATCAAACAACTATATAAGTTAACAAATAGCGGAGATATCAGCTGATACACATCGTAGGTTGTCATCCGACTTAGCAGTCTGTGTGCAGTATGAAAGCCACGATTTTTATTTGAAATCAATGGGACAGAAAAATTACTTCATTTATATGTGTATCTTCCATATGAATCTCAATTCCACAAAAAAAAAAAAAAATAAAAATTTGCATTTTTTACAGGGTTGTGAAATTAAGTCGTAATTTTAGACCACTTTTTCATGCATTGTTTATTAAAAAAAAAATAGTTTAAATAAAAATATCGCTTTCGATTGACGTTCATATTCAAGGTAATTGTATAAAGAAAATTATAGGCCATATCGCAAGATGATTGGTTTAAAAACTCTTTGAGCTAGACTGATGCACACAGTTTTGAAAAAACTCGTTTCGAGAAAAACGCGTTTGAAAAAAAAGTGACAGAAAAAGTTAATGTAAAATAGTATTAAAGTAATTACTAAATCGCTTATAACTTTTGAACGAATAGAAATTTTGATTTGAAATTTTCAATCAATATTTTTGAATAGTTTTACACAAGCGATTTATAAAAAAAAAAAAATTGAATTTTTTTAAGCCTGTACACGTATTTCCCCCCCGTATTTCAAAGTACTTTGATTCGTTGACTTTATAGAAATTTTTGCAATTCACTAGAAGTTAAACAAAATATTATTTTTTGACGTAATATTTATTACAAGAGTTTTGCCACGAGGATGTTAAACTTAAAAGTAATGTTTTTATTGATATTTTTATCTTTGTCTATAAATAATTTTTGTCAAGTATGTCGTATGTAATTGATTATAATTGTATTCTTACAGTATGTCTGAAGAAGTTGGAAATAAAGCCAACAAAACGTTGCATTTTTTTTAAATTTAACATCTTATTGTTATTGTCCACGTTCTCAAGATTTGTTATCTAATATTTCATGAAACATGGATGAGAATCTACAAAGTAGTTAAACAGAATATTTTACCTTATCAATCCTACAAAAAAAACATGTACCGCTTGTCAAAATAACAAATAAATTAATCAAAAAGACATCACGAGCTGCACAGACGCATGCGCAATTGTTGACACCCACTATTCCCGCGTGAATTGTCATTTTGTTTTCGAGCCGCTAACTGCGCTGTTGTTTGTTATTATGTCTGATAAACGACAATTACTTTCTCTCATTTTTCACCGACATTACTCACAAATAAATTACTAATATGTAATTTGAAATGTTAATTGTGTATCGATTATTCAGTCCTTGCAAAATATATCAGAGTGTATACCCGATAAATTTTTTTGTTATCTACGATAATTATTAATCAATTTATCACAGCAAATTGTTATTTTAACAGATAAGATTATAAATAAAATAAATAAAAATTCTACTGTTTAATTTAATAACTAATGATCAGTAATAAATCTTGTCTGATCAATCCTACTGGTTTTATTCTTTAAAAAACATCGAAAATGATAATAATTAATAAATTATCATTGCTGTTAATTTTTGTCTACATCACTGTACGATGCAATGGATATTTCACTGTCAATAACTTAGACTCATTAGAACAGAACAATGTGATCTGCCAATCCTGCAAAGAACCTCCTTTTCAACCAACATGGGACAGCTTGGACAGCCGTAAGTTACCCAAATGGTACGACGATGCAAAATTTGGAATTTTCATCCACTGGGGAGTATTTAGCGTTCCGAGTTTCAGCTCTGAATGGTTTTGGAAGCACTGGAAAGGTAATTAATAAATCAAATTAATGACAAATACTTTACCGATTATTTATGATAACTTTTTAATTACAGACGAAAACGGTACCGGCAAAATAACCGATTTTATGAAACAGCACTACCCACCGAATTATTCTTATCAAGATTTCGCTCGAGATTTCACTGCGGATTTCTTCAACGCAACTCAATGGACAGAGTTATTTGCTGCAGCGGGTGCTAAGTATGTAGTATTGACCAGCAAACATCATGAAGGATATACTTTATGGCCCTCCAAGTACTCTTTCAGCTGGAACGCTAAGGACGTTGGGCCTCATAGAGATTTGATAGGTATTTTGGTTAATAATAAATAATAATTATTTATTTATTAATTTATTTGAAAAGAAACGCCCTCGGCAATTTACAACAATATATTACATTTTTATGTGTAGAATTTTTAGTTAATATTTATATACAACTAGCTGTTACTCGCCCGCTCCGCTGGGCGCATTATAGAATTGCATTTTTAGATCTAAACTTGAAATTTAATTAGAGTATTGTTTTGACTTGCACAGATTCTCAATTCTATCGAATTGGCATGCACCTTTTATCCATGTAATTATTCTAGGTAATATTCATTGTGACTTTCAACGTGCAATCATTATAACATTCCCGTATTTTTATTACAAAAATTAATAATAATTGATATGAAAAAAAAATTTGTAATGAGCATTGAAAGTTTCAGTTAAAAAAATTGCAGGTCTCATAAGTGAAGAAATCTGCCTAGTATATAAACATAACCAATAGAATTAAAAAATTTATTTTAAACAAATGACAATCGAATAGAATAAATTTAGTTACAATAAAAATTCATTATTTCTAAATCAAAAAAATACAGGTTCCGGATAAGTAGTCACCACCATATCATATACTAAAACCTTCACCGAAACACACTGTATCTTATGGTATAAGTATTATTCCGATCGGTTCAGTAGTTTTCGCAGTATAACCGGACAAAAAAATCGGCTCTCCATTTATTAGTATAGAAGATAAATAACATCTGTAGAGAGAAGATAGATTTAAGAGATTTGAGAGAAGAGAAAAACAAAAAAAAATTTCGAAGGTCTGATTAGCAATTGGTCTTACTCCTTATTTTTTAGAGGGTAGTTTTTTAACATTTTGATATAGCAATAGTCCAATTATAAATTATTTGAATGATCCAAAAAAAAAAAAATACTATACCTCTATTGGATATTAATGATATTAAATGGTTTTTTAAAGTGATTCTCTAAAATGGAGTTAGACAATTTGCTAATTAGAACGTCGATTTTTAATAATTGATAATCACTAATTGGTAATTTATGATCACTATTTGCACACCTGGAATGTTATTTTAAAATCACCCTTTTTGCTTCACTTTTTATCTTATCTGCTGGTCCTCCAAAAATTATAGTACCTATAATTAATAATAGTTATAATTTTACATCGATTCTAGGTGAACTTGCCCGTGCAATAAGAAAAACTCCAATAAAATTTGGACTGTATCACTCTTTGTACGAGTGGTTCAATCCCATGTGGGAGTCGGACAAGAAGTCAAATTTCTCCACTAGCGAGTTTGTCACTTACAAAATAATTCCTGAGATGATGGAGCTCGTAAATACTTATCAGCCAGAAGTACTTTGGTCTGATGGTGAATGGGAAGCTCCGGATACTTACTGGAAATCCAAAGAATTTTTAGCTTGGTTGTTCAATCAAAGTCCAGTTAAAGATACGGTTGTAGTCAATGACCGCTGGGGGCATGAGACGCTCTGCCATCACGGCGATTTTTATACTTGTACTGACAGATACAATCCAGGTTGTATTATTATTCAAAGTTTTACTTTGATTTATTTATTACTAACTTTTATTCTTGTAATTCTTGTAATTATTTAGGAGTTCTGCAGAAGCATAAGTGGGAAAATGCAATGACAATTGACAAAAAATCATGGGGCTTCCGTCGCAATGCCGCTTTAAGTGAATATTTAACAACAGCAGAGTTAATTAAAGAACTAGTAATTACCGTAAGTTGCGGTGGTAATTTATTAATGAACGTTGGGCCAACGAAAGACGGGATTATTCCTCCAATTTATGAAGAACGGCTTAGAGAAATGGGTAAAGTAATTGTTCGCTTAATCCAAAGGATAAATAATTACTGGGATTTATTTGTCAGGTCAATGGCTAAAAATAAATGGAGAAGCTATTTATTATACTCGGCCTTTTGCTATTCAGAATGATACCCTGAGTAAAGATGTCTGGTACACTCAAGGTAACTCGGGGGATACAAGAACTACATATGCAATTGTTTTGACCTGGCCTGCAAATGATTTGCTGCCTTTATCTGTTCATTCTGCCTCTAAGCTCTCTATTCTCGGCTACGAAGGATCTTTTAAGGTATTTGTTATTTTTTTTTTTTTATAGAAATTTGAGATTATCTATCAAATATTTGTCCATTATTTTCTTCTAGTGGGAACGAATGAGAGATAATATAAAAATTTACCTGCCACCAGCCGCTCACAGAGGCCAGTCAGCTTGGGTTATAAAAATACTGTGGTGATTAATCAAAGTTATCAATTTATTTTTTATATTTATACCATAATTATTAACAAAGTTAATAAAAAGTAAACTAAGTAATCAGTCAGCGAGATTTACCCTGATTCTACCATTAACACCGTAATTAATATTTTTATAAAATATAAAATTATGAATTGATTAAACTCGGGAGACTTCGTACAAGTAAGATCCCAGCAGCTTGGTCTGAAAATTAATACAAAAGTCAATAAATTAATTAATTTATCTATATCACGCATAAAAACAATTTTGTTGAAATAACAAAAGACGGGATAACTGAAAAATATGTTCTGGTAACAAATAAATGTAGTTATAGCAACAAAATCATTAGTTGTATTAACAAAATATTTCAAGTTGTACTAACAAACCAGTTTGTTAAATCACAAAATCAATTTATTGCCCTAACAAAATCATTTTGTTGCTGTCACAAAATAACGTTGTTGCTGTTACAAAGTAATATTATTGCTGTAACAAAATGATTTTGTTGCAATAATAAAACTAAATTGTTGCTAAAATATTTTCAAAATCAGCTGTAGCTGATTACAGCATATTTTTTAATTATGTATTCTTATAAAATTTATTGTAACAAATTTATTTGTTATTCTAACAATTTTTCATTGTTATTATTACAAATTCTTTTTATTACTTCAACAAATTGTCTTTGTTACTCCAAAAAATTTTCTTTGTTATTTTAATAGAATAATTTTGCTGTTTTAACAAAAAAATTTTTAACAAAAAAATATCTTAACAAAATTTTTTTCTGCGTAGTTAGTTATTTAGAGAAGAAAATAATAGATCTTACCCCTTCGATGTAATTACGAATGTTGAGCTTTTCATTTTGGGAATGAGCGCCATCATCCCCACAGCCGACTGGCAGGAGTAAAACATTTTTACCGGTAACCTCTTGGAATGTAAGAGTCACAGGTATCGATCCACCCTCACGAGATAGATCTGGATCAACTCCATACACATATTTAGTGGCAGTACGAGCCGCTACATAGTGGGGATGATCGGGATTCTCTGTCCAAGGTTTACCACCGTGACCCATGTGGATGTTCATAACATTGGGACTGCCTCTGGTAGCCCAAATTTTCTCCAAGTGAGCCTTGACCTTTGTAGTGACCTCGTCGGGAGTCATACTAGGCACAATTCTCAATGAGAATTTGCCGATAACTTTCCTCGGGATGACAGTCTTGGCTCCTGGTTCGCTGAAAGCACCCTCGATTCCGTGGATCGAGAGAGTTGGGTAGCGCCAGCGATGCATCAACAATTGTATCTGTCGATATCGATACGATAAAAAAAATTATGTAAGTAATGAAAAAAATTATGTAACATTTACCTTATCTTCATTATGAGCGAGTTTTTTTGTTCCAACGGTACTTCGGAACTCATCGACATCAAATTCAATGTCCTGATAGCTCTTGAGCTCGGCTTCAGTAATCTTATCAACCTTGTCGTAAATTCCGTCGATAAGAATACGCCCGTTTACATCGACCAGCGAATTTAGCAAGAAAATCAAATCAGACATTGCTTCGTGGACTGTTCCACCGAATGTTCCGCTGTGCAAATCACTTTTAGCACAGCTTACTTCAAGATTGAAGTAAGCGAGTCCACGCAATCCGTATGTGATACAAGGTTTCGTTGTACCAAGCCAGTAATTATCAGAAATACATACGTAATCAATGTCACTGAGGAAAGATTCTTTACGTGACCATAAAAATTCATCTAAGCCTTCGCTACCATTCTCTTCCATTCCTTCAAAGACAAACTGCAAAACATTATTATTATTTATAATTTTTCTTTTGTTAATTGGTATATTTACTAAAATTTATGGTTATTATTTACAAGTGGGGTCAATCCCATTTTATTTATTTATTTATTTATCAACAGTTATAACAAGGCCTCATAAGCCGAATGGCAAATTAACAAAATACATAATCATCATATTGTGTTACAGATGCCATAAGGGCGTATAAAAATTATACGCTCTTATGGCACCCGGGAACCATAAGGGCGTATAATAAAAATTCTGTTTATTTTTCTAAAGCCAAAAAAATTTTTTAGTTTGGAGAAAATTTTTTTTTTGCATTTCTGCATGTAGCGTACAAAAATACGTCGGTTCCAAAAAAAAAAAAATTTTTTTTTTTTCGGGAATCAACTTATTTTTTTATGATGATAAATTTAGCAGATAGGTATTTAATAATTTTTAGAATTTTTTTTAACAAATAAAATATGACAAAAAAAAAAATATAAAAAAATGACATGTAGAAATTTTAAAAAATTAAAAATGCAATTTTTTAAAAATAATTTTTTGGAACAAATTTTTTTGTTAAAAAATTCTCTAGTGACTGCTAACTTTAATGTCATTATTTTTTTATGAAATGTGTAGAAATGCAAAAAAAATTTTCTTCAAAGTACAAATTTTTTTTGGACTTAGAAAAAATAATAGAATTTTTATTATACGCCTTTTTGGCATCCGAGGTGGGTTCCGGGAGCCATAAGGGCGTATAAAAATTTTTTTTTAGCATTTCTGCACATTTCGAACGAAACTACGTCTATTTCCGAAAAAAAAATTTTTATACGTCCTTATAATTTTTCACCAGGACCTTTTGCTGGTATACGCCCTTATGGTATCTGGAACGCGATATAATCATCACATTTTGGGCCATAACTAGGGTGAAAAACTAACATTTTTTAATTTTTTTTTATTCTGCTTGTTTTTACGGCACATTTATGATAAAAAATGTCGTAAGAAGAAACAATAAAGATTTCGATAGCTTTTTTGCCTTTAAAAGTTGGAAAAAAAATCGGCTTTCATGTCTTTTGATAAAATTTATACTTTATCTTTTTTTGATGTTTTTGATATATTTTTTTTTTTTTTTGAAAAGTATATTAAAAAACGAACAATTTAAAAAAAAATTGATCAATTTAATTAAAAAAAAAAAGAAATTAACATGTCCCATCATGGTTTGATCTCAGTTGTAAATAATTACCAAATTTATGATTTCTTATCTCTTTCTAAGTAATTGAACAGGTGTTTTACCTTTACATTAACCGGAATTTCTTCCCCAATAGCTTTGTACGCTTGCAATGCATGTAACCAGCACAAAACTGGGCCTTTGTCATCAGTACTGCCTCGCCCGAATAACTTATTGTCCTTCTCAATCAAAGTAAACGGCTCGGTATCCCATCCGTCCTCAACCAACGCAGGCTGAACATCAAGATGTCCATAAATAAGAACGGTCTTCTTGCTACGATCATTTCCAAGACTACCGACCAAAATCGGCGGTAATGGAATTTCTCTTCCGTCATGCAATTTTTCCATACCGATATCTGCCAACTCAGTGCTAGCTCCTAGAGCTTTCATCTTCTTCTCCATCCACTCCATCATCTTGACACACTCGCTTCGAGAGTCCGGCCATGATGACACGGATTTTATGGCCACAGCTTCTCTCAATGTATCAACATACTCTTTTTTATGCTCGTCAATGTACCTGTTAAATAATAAATAATTAAAATTAAAATAAATTGTTTAAGAAAAAACAAAAATATTATTAGAATAGAGTTTTAAAATTTATTTTTATTCAATAAAATTATTATTGTAAATAAATTACCCATAAAGTTTAGCCAAAGCCTTTGGGATTGTCGGTGCCATTGTTGCTTATACGCCTCAATTGCAAATATTCTGTTTAATTTTAAATTGTAATGAAAGACCAGCGATAAATTAAAAATTAATTACTCAGTCTTTTGTATTGTTGTAACTGTTATCTCAAATACCAGCCCCAATCACAATGATACGCTTATCTGAAAAAACAAAAAAAAAAAAACAGTGGCGTATTAATAATTTTTTTTTTTTAACTTTAAATTAAACAACTTCTTACCGAGAATCCACTGTAACTTGTAATGTTTAAAGAAAAATCGAGTTAAACTGTCAACTATTTTATTTTCTATACTTGTATTGGAGTTTTTCTATACACTACTACAGAAACAATTACTCCTTTTCATTTATTTTAACAAAAGTGCTGTCATCTGATGGCGAGTTTATTCAAAAATTAACTGTCATCTTTTGCTTACGTGTGCACTAGGTTAAGTACCGGTAAATTATTTTACTGTGCTTTACAAACATACACATAGTCATATATTTAATAAATAAACTTTTAATTTTTGTTATAAACAATTGTACATATATAAACAAATATCCAAAATGACTAATAAAATAAAAGTTAAAGATAAATTAGAAGATGATACTCTGGATTTAAGTTATTGTGATCTGCGAGAAGTGCCAATACGTGAAATTGTAAGTATTTATATTTTAATTGTTGAATTATTGTTGTCATAAATTATTAATAATAATCAATGATTTTATTTTTTAGGCTCCTATTAAAAAAGCAACATGCTTGGATTTGTCGAACAATTCGCTAGTTTCAATTCCAGTAAGTATTTATTTTTTATAATTATTGTTGTTGTTAATAATTGATTAATTTATTTATAAATTTTTCAGAACACTATAGTTAGCCTCACAAATATAATAAAACTTGATTTAAGTAAAAATATGTTGACTGAGATACCTGAAAATATTGGAGAGATGAGACAGTTGCGGCATTTAGACCTTTATAGTAATCAGGTATTTATTTATTTAACTATTTAAAAATTTTTCTTTTTTTTAATGAAAAAAAAAAATATCACGTACGATGTAATTTCATCTTAACTATACTCCAAATTTCATAGAACTGATTAGTGAGTTTCTATTACCCTTTATATATTATTGAATATTGAATATAATTATTTAAAATTATGGACATAATTTTAAATATCTTTAATATGTATATTTTTTTTATTAAGGGGGAACACCACTGTGACGATCGAAAAAAAGAGGTGATTTTCGGGAATTTTTTCGACAGGGAAAATAAAGGAATTTGGTAATCGGGTTTTTTTTTTTTTATTTTATTAAGGCTACATTAAAGATTATTACCCTAAAGTTTTATTAAAAAATATTTAATTATTACAAAGTTATTAACAATCTCGTCGAGCACTGGAGAAAATTTCCCCCTCCGAGGTCGGTTCGATAACTCAAAAACAGATCATCTGAAAATAAAAACCTAAATTGCTTTTTAATAATTAAGGATGTAGTTATCGTCGCACCTACGGAATTTGAAAAATTTTTATTTTAAAGATTTTTTTAGCCGGGTTAAAACAAAAAAAAACGGTGAGAATAGTGAGAAAATTTTCAATTAGTCGCCATTTTTAAAAAAATTAAAATTTTCAAAATTCCGTACGTGCGACGATAACTACATCCTTACTGATTAAAAAGCAGTTTGAGTTTTTATTTTCAGATGATCCGTTTTTCAGTTATCGAACCGACCATGGAGGAGGAAATTTTTTCTAGTGCTCTACGAGATTGTTAATAACTTGGTAATAATTAATTTAGGGTAATAATCTTTAATGTACCCTTAATAAAATAAAAAAAAATCCGATCCCCAAGTTCCTTTATTTTCCCTGTCAAAAAAATTCCCGAAAATCATCTCTTTTTTTCGATCATCACAGTGGTGTTCCCCCTTAATATTAAATTGTTGGGATAAAAATAAAATTTTAGAGTGTGTTATTTAAATAAAAAAACTAGATATAATTCAATTTTTACTTTGTGAAAAATTATGAATAAAAAAAGTTTTTTTTTTTAATTAAAAGAAAAGAAAAGAAAATTAAAAATTTATTAAATGAATGCAAATAAATTTTAACGTTATCAATGGTATTAATGGTTTTACTATTCATTAAAAAAAAAAAAAAAAAAAAAAAAAGTAACAGTTAGTAAAGAACATTTAAATTATCATTTTGTCTCAAAAATTTGTAATTGAAATTTTCTATCCCCTAGTTAGATAATTAAACTAATATTCGACTATATTAAAAAAAAATAAAAGATAAGTCTAAAAAATTTATGCCTTAGTCTGACCATGAAATAAGTGATAAAAAAATTGAATTTTAAACATGATTGTTCTTCAATTTTTAAAAGCTAATGTTTTTCAAGAGTTAAAAAATACATTTTTTTAAATCACGTCTATTCATTCCAACATTATGATTATCTATAATTGAAGATAATAATAATTTTTTTTTTTATGTTATTTTAGATCAGTAGATTGCCATTGAGTTTAGGCGAGTTAAAAAATTTAAAATGGCTGGATCTAAAGGATAATCCACTGACAGCAGCTGTTGCAAGTGTAGCTGGTCCTTGCAGCAACAGCAGTGATTGTCAGGCCTGTGCTAAAAATATTGTTAGTTATTTATCACAAGTAAAGCAGTCGATCGAAGAAGAAAAAGTACGCAGGAAGGCAGTTGTTGCAGATGTTCCGGCAAAAAAAGAGACGAAGAAGAAAAAGAAGAAAAATGCTGAGAAAATCATCAAGGTATCTCCCGCAACTGAAGCTATCGTCGCTGAAGAAAACAACGGTGAGCCAGAACACGAAACTGTTTCTCCTAAGAAAACCACTCGAGGAACCTGCAGTATCTTTATCAATATTTTAATCTCGGGGATTTTAGCAACTTTGCTCTTCAGCATCTTCTTTGTTTTGATACTAATATTTTTACCAAGTTACAATAAAGATTTGTCGGATATAATTGTAAAGGATCTAGAAGCTCAAACAAAATTGCCTGTTAAATATTATCAAGAGTTGGGTATAGTTAAAAAAGATTTTATCTTTAAAGAAATGTTTATATTTTTTAACAAATCTAAATTAGTAGGAGCTAAATATTACAATGAAATTGTTAGTTATCTGAGTGTCAAATTTAATGAATATTTTAAATGAATGTTGGAATTTTTAATGGTATATTGTTAAAAAAATTCCTGGCAAAGCTCATTAATAAATCAGGAATTATTTGAATAAAAGTCTTACAGCCACTGAGTGGTTAAATTAAATAATATAAAAAAATGAATTAATTACCTAGGATTTAATTAATTAATTAAAACTTTTATTACAAACACATATATTAAGAATTATTACAAAATATACACTATATATATTATATATTAATTATTATTATTTTTATTATTATTATTATTATTATTAATTAATAGTTACGTTAAATTTAATTTTCATCATGAGATTTATGGATAATAGAAGAAATAGGTTTCGTAGTTTTATTCAGAGACGACTCCATTTTATTGATTAATTTTTGAAATTTATTGAGCTTGAAACCCTCGTCTTCATGGCTATCAAGACAGGTGTCAATAAACTCCTGGCTGCTTGACCGTCTGGTATTTTTCTCAGCAGCGGTCAGTTCGTTAAGAACTTTAGGCTTTCTGCCGCTGGCAAAACGATTCCAGGCTTTAGTAACATTATTAACAGTCTTATCCGAGGAAGAACTTGAGCACCCGGAGTCACGTGACCTTGCACGGAAGTCTGCGAGTATTGCAATGTCGTCGTAAAGTTCTTCTTTAACGTTTGTTAAAGTAGTGGTGGCTGCTGTCACGTCTAATTGACCCGAGTCAATTGGCTCCTGTGACCGTGGTACTTGGTAATGCTCCAACTCATCGTCCACGGCATTTGTCGTTGACCGCAACTCACTCTGTGACAAATTCTTAACTCTTGACTGTTCATCTTTAACGCACAGTGATGACTCATTGTGAGCAACTATTTCATTATTATTTTGAAATTTTTCTTCTATAACAATTCTCAACGAGCCAATGTCGTCGTAAAATTCTTCTGGTTCTTCGGCAAATTTTACTGGAGTCGGTATCGTCGGTGGTTTTGCATAAATAGGCCTCGGAGCTGGTGGACAATTATACTCTGCCATGTTATTATTATCAAGCGTATTTTTATTAAATTCACCGGCAAGATCCGATACATCATCGTAGGTAGGTAGCTCCAACAATTGATTATTTTCCTGCAAATCGGCTCTTATATCACGATTATCAGGTTTCGCATCTTTAATATCTGGTTTCGTATCTTGATCATCAGGTTTTATTTCTTTAACACTTGAGTGAACTTCCTTTGGTAAATTTTTAACTTTTTTCTTCTTACTTTCCTCTTTCTTGGAATCTTTTTTGTACCTCACGCGATTTAAAAATGATTTTTTCTTCGGCGATTCTTTGGCATTTTTATTATCAACAGCCTCGACATCATCATACATTACAGAACTTCTTTCCTCTTTAACTTGACTATGAATATCATCATAAGTATCTTTTAAATTTTTACTTTCCCGTTTAACCTTTTGTTCTTTTTTACCCACAATGTCATCGTAAGTTTCCATAACCGGCAATTTAACTTTATCTTTGGCAATTTTGACCTTATCAACATTCTGATACATAGTCGGCTGTTTGAACTCCTCGACCATCTGATAAATATCGTCCTCATAGTAAGCCTCCTCCGTGAAATCAACAGACTTGTTTTTATCTTCATGAGGAAGCGACGGAAGTCTCCGCGGTATTCGTGCAGGTAATGGCGGCGGGTTTGCGTCACCATTGACCCCAGCTATTGTTTTTTTTTTTCTCAACTCAACCTCCTCGATACCTTCATTTTCCTTAGCTTCGGCGCCAACATCTTGGTACTCTTCCTCGGGCCACAGTTGTGAATCCACGTTATCTGTCTCACTCTCTTTCTTTACACCTGCCCGGGAGATTACCGCGATCCACTGTTCCATTTCTTTAGGGGTCCTGGCAATGAATTGATACGTCTTATCGCCGGGACAAAATATTTCAAAGGCAGATTTACTGCGTTCAAAATCTTTTATATAGTCAGTAGCCGCTCGTGCCGAGTATCCACGAATTGAAATTACGTCACTCGGTTGTTTGTCATTCTTGGTGGCGTATAGCAGCAAGTGTGTTCCCACGAAGCCTAAAATTCCCCAAGCATACTCACTTTTAGTAATTATTAATTAACTAATCAAGACAAATCGTGTTTTTAATTTCTAAAAGGCATTTAAATACCAAATAAAATTTTTTAATATAAAAACAAATTGCGTTACAGATGCCATAAGGGCGTATAAGGTAAAGTACCCAGTAGTTGAACAGGTTTCAAAGTAAAACGTATTTGACCCTACTTTTAATAAATAAAAATATAATTATTAGTTTAAATTAGTGATTTTCATGAAAACATAAATGATTTTGAATTGATTGAAGCACAAAATAACAAAGATAATAGAATATTTATATTTTGACAACATTTTTAAGACAGACAATGAAAGGAGTAGTAGTTGAACAATCAATTCTGATAAGCCGCAGTAGTTGAACAATCCGGGAGCAGTAGTTGAACTAATAAAATATATGGCAATAGACACACTAAAAATTTTCAACTTTCTATTGAAATATCTAAAGAATTATAATATATTATTGAATAGTATTAAAAATAATACTATGAATATTTAATATGTTCATTTAAAAATGAGTAATATTTGTATTTAATTTTTTAATTACATTTTTTATGAATGACAAAGTAAATTTTCAATTATAAATCAAAAAAACTCAATTCAAAACGTTCAATAATTTTTAACTACACTAATTTTTAGCTATAAAACTTATTTAATTTGCAGTAATTAACACAAATCACAATGCTGATCACTAGTCTATAAACCTATTAGAAGTTAGAGTGCTGTTAAAATTAAACGGCCCCAGCTTGTTCAAGTTCTGGGTACAGGTTTGAAAATTTGGAGGTATAGTTAGATGCTAAAATTTATTATAAAAATTATAGTTTATGTCTTTGCAAAAAATATTTATTATTTAAAAAAGACTATTTCATTGGGTGGTACAATGTTTTTTACTTAAAATGATGATATACCGTTTTTTTGACTGATTGTTCGGTCTATACTGAGAAAAAAAACTACTTTTGCTCAATAAGCAATTTCTTAGCTCAGGAAACTCGCTGACGATCAAATATTCTATTATTATTAATTATTAATTTCTGAAGAGAAGAACATCAATATTTATCTTTGGATAATAGATAAATAAAAGAATAGCTTTATTTAAATTAAGTAAAAATTATTTCAAATCAATTTAACAATTTCTTGAGCTAAGAATATATATTCTTGAAAATTTTCAAGAACATAAATTCTTGTATCAAAAAAATTTTCTTAATAAAATTATTTTTTTTTCTCAGTGTACGTTTAGTACCTTTTTCATGAAAAAAAAAAAAAAAAAAAATAGCATCTACCGGCTATTCTCGACATGACAACTTTTAAGTTAACAAAAATATAATTGTTTTGATTTATAAAATTGAAAGAATTAATAGATATCAATTACTGTATCATTGAATAATTATAACATACGCATATTACTCATAATAAATATACGGATTTTGTATTACAACAATTCGAAAAGTCTGTTCAAGTATTGGTCTCATTTTTATGTGTTCAAGTACTCGGTACTTTAACTTAATAAAAATCATATTTTTTTTTCCAAGTTCAAAAAAAATTTTTAGTTGGGAGAAAAAATTTTTTTTTCGCATTTCTGCACGTTTCATACAGAAACACGTCGGTTCTCAATAAAAAATTTTTTATACGCCCTTAAGGCATCTGGAACGCGAAATAATAATTTAAAAAATAACATATTTTAAATATTCATCAATTTTATTTTCACGGCCATTTAGTTTTAAAGACACGAAATTTATCAGTTAAAAACAATCTTACCAATCCAAAGCTCGCGGAATTGATCAAAGAGCTGAAATCCAAACAGCCTACGCTCCTCTTTCTGAAACAACGGACCACATTTGTGGCACTTGCTGCGTGTCTGCTCAGTAGAAAAGCTTCGATAAATACTCTTCAACTTGTCCTCTTCATCATCCACCGAAGGCTTTGCAGTAAACTCTTGAAACGTTTCATAGTAATCTTGCGCGGAGTACCTCGACACCCGGGGATTATCTGAGTCAATGTACTCAGTCACTTGCTGCTGCTGACGATGATGATTATGATTGTTGTTGTCATTGATACCATTAGGTTCTTTCTTGACCAGCGAGAGACCTTTACCTTTCCCGGCATTCATGTCAAGGTAAGGCTCCGGCGAGGCGGATCGTTGACCCGCCGATGCCAAGCTTGTTTTTGAGCGCCTCAGAAGATTACTTCTGTCATTCTCCAGCGTATCCGGCAGGTTTATTTCTTTGGACAGCAGCTCAAGGAATTTAACAAGATCTGACAAAAAAACACAAGTAAGTAAGTTAAAATCCATAAATATAACTATTGACAATAATAAAATAAAATAAATATTATTTACCGTTCAGGATAGTAACAAGCTCAGCATCGAAAGCCATATTTTAAGTTTGACGTCAGTAACTTATCTCGTTAAATAATCCACAAATGTCTCATCAGTCTCTAATGTCCATCAGTGTCAACTTGCTTGGTATGAATACATAGTTGTCTTTCAACGACTCATTAAGTGTATCACTTGTATTGCTATTTAGCAAGTATAAGTCTCCTTCTAAATGCTTCTAATTTTTATTAAATATTAAATATATTTATTCGTACACAAATATGTATTAATAAAATAACACAGGATGCTTCAATCGTCGACAGGATACCGTGCGATAAAAAGTTTATCTATAAATGGTCATCTGTCAGCCGGAAGAAACTAAAGATTTTTTTTTTTAATTTGTAGCAAAAAAATTTTCAAGTATTAAACGACATTATGAAATTTTATTTAGCAGATATTTAATAATTATTGGAATTTTTTTGACAAATAAATTATGGCAAAAAAAATGAAAAAAAAAAAAAAAAAATTGACATGGAGAAATTTTTAAAAATTAAAAATGCATTTTTTTTTTAATAATTTTTTGGAACAAATTTGTTTGTTAAAAAAAAATTAAAAAATGGTCATGTCATTCAAGTTAGCCGACGTTCTAAATTTTTTGATTTTTTTTTAATAATTAAATTAGATCAAAAAAATTTTTTTTTAAAATTGCACATTACAGTTTTTGAAGTTTTTTACACGTGCAAATTTTTTTTTTATTTTTTTGTAAGCATTTTTTCAATAAAAAAATATTCTAAAAATTTATAAATGTCGGCTAACTTAATTTTCATAAAATGGTCAAGTAACTGCTAACTTTAACGTCATACAACATTTTATTAATAACATATAAAATGGTGTTTAATTTTTTTTAACTGGGCATTAAAATAGCATTAAAATAATCTAATAATTTTATTAAAATGAAGAGGCGTAAGACCAACGCCTTCTCAAACTCCTTCGCAGCAATTTATCATCACATTAGTAAATATGTATATATATAGTCTTCTTTCATATAAACTCAGATTATTGAACACCACCGTAGTAGAGATAGATCATAGTAAGGTAACGTATTATCTGATACGTATTTAAAGTGTAAATAAACCGCGCAGTTATTACGTAAAGCTTCATAATATTATCACTGTGTAAACTATTGTAATTTAATTTAACAGCATAATAATATAAATATATTTACAGAGCGGTGAAGAAAAAAAAACTGTCATATCCGATCTGAAGTTGAAGGACTTGCTCAGCGATTTTAGTGACACAATTGGGAAATATTTTGTTTGTCGCAAGTGAAAAATTCCAAGAACATAACACAGACTATTGGCACTTAGTAAACAATAATGTAAATGTACGGATAAAATATTGCGATCGAATAGAAGTTGAAAGGCGCAAGTATGCAGAAGCCTCGTGTTTCGTGTCTGTCGCCTTGGTTTACTGCCGACTCCCGACGACTCCCGCAAAGACGTAACACGTCTCTGGCATAAGTACATCGACGCTCATCACATACCCGCGATACTTATAATACTATACGGGCAACATAGCAGCGACATCCAAGATTCCCTCCTCTTAGTCTGGCTGGTAGTATGTTGCTTGTAGTATGTTGTATGTTGTGTATATCCACCGCCTCCTCCTTCTCCTCCGAGGCCGCTACTCATACTTCATCTCTTGACTCCCTTCGATGTCTAATCCTTTGCTGAGTCACTTACATTTTAATTCGTGTCAACTGCTTACTCTCGGGCTTCTATGTGTTACATACACGTACTTATGTCCACGTCGTGTACTTCATTTGTGTGGACTTGAGATCACTCGATAGCTAATCATATCATTTAGCGAATCTCATTGTCAATAATTTAATTCAATCAGTTTAGTTATTATAGTAATTAATTACTTGTCACTTTATATATCTTACTTTGTAATGATTTCTCTTGAAATTTCTACGACTTTCATAAATTTTTGTTTTTATTTTTTTACCTAAAAAGAAATTTAATTATTTATTTATATTTATTCTTAAAAACTCATAAACAATTAACTTGTCTTTTTTTAATTAATGAATAAAATTATTTTTAAATTTTAGTTAACTTCTGATCATTTTTAGGTTTTGTTTATCAACTTCATTTAGCTAACATGATAATTTATAGGATTTCTTTCAAGAAATCAATTATTTAAAAAAAATTATGATACTAAAGTTAGCCGACGTTTTTAATTATTTGATTTTTTTTTAATAATTAAATTAGAATAAAAAATATTTTTTAAAAATTGCACTTACAGTTTTTTCATGTTTTAACAAATGACATTTTTTTTTTCTTTTTTTTTTTTTTTTTCCATGACATTTAATGCGTCATTTATCACGAGGAATTCATTATGCAGTGCTTGGATAAAAAAATTTTATAATTACTATTATTTTGCTAGATGTTTTGCGTGTCTAAAAATGTCCTGTCTCTAATGCCAAAATAGCTACAATTTTTTTTTTTTATTTACTTGCATTGAATATAAATTAACGGAGTATTTGCATGCAAATAGTTGGAACCAAGAAGACTGAAAAACAAAAAGCTACTGAAATTGGATTTGAAAGTTACCTTGTGTTTCAAAGTTCAGTGAGACAAAAAATGTTTTTTAGAATCTATAATTAGTTGAAAATCTATCTAATATTTTAGGATTTTATTTTTTATTACCTAAATAATAAAAATTAAGAAAATTTAGAGAATTGTTAAATTTAAGTGACTTGGCGTTGAGGATTTAAATCTTGAGTCAGTCGTCATTTTCATAAATAAAAAAATTTCGAAATAATCTACGGGGGCCAGACTTTAAACAAATTTCTTTTTATGAAATTAATTAACCCATTTTAAATATAGTCATATTTAATGTTCGTAAAATAAATACACGGAAAAAAGAAAAATAGAAAAATTACATTATATAATGTAACGTAGCGCTCCGTAATGAAAACTGGAAAAATTACAGTTTCAGATTGTAATTATTACAAATTTTATAAGAATTACATTGTAGAATGTAATATTTACATCATTGAAAGCTCTGAAAATTAATATTCAAAGTTTGAATTTAGAAAAATGTTATTTCGAACTGTAATTTTTTTAATTTTGAATACAGCGGGACACATTACTATTCGGCTGCCCAATTTCAAAATACAGTAACTAACATTTAGAAATTTTTTAAAATTTTTCTTATTAAAAAAAAGTTTGCTTGCCAAATTGACGATAAATTTGATTTATGAGTAGAAAATACTTGAATATAAATATTTTTAAGAAAAAATACTTGAAATTAAGGTCTAAAAGTTATAAAAAATGCAGCAATATTAGAAAAAAATTAGGAATAAAAATTTTGCAGTTACTGTGTTTTAAAATTGAGCAGCCGTATTTATAATGTAATTTTTCTATTTTTCTTTTTTCCGTGTATTTATTTTACGAACATTAAATATGACTATATTTAAAATGGGTTAATTAATTTCATAAAAAGAAATTTGTTTAAAGTCTGGCCCCCGTAGATTATTTCGAAATTTTTTTATTTATGAAAATGACGACTGACTCAAGATTTAAATCCTCAACGCCAAGTCACTTAAATTTAACAATTCTCTAAATTTTCTTAATTTTTATTATTTAGGTAATAAAAAATAAAATCCTAAAATATTAGATAGATTTTCAACTAATTATAGATTCTAAAAAACATTTTTTGTCTCACTGAACTTTGAAACACAAGGTAACTTTCAAATCCAATTTCAGTAGCTTTTTGTTTTTCAGTCTTCTTGGTTCCAACTATTTGCATGCAAATACTCCGTTAATTTATATTCAATGCAAGTAAATAAAAAAAAAAATTGTAGCTATTTTGGCATTAGAGACAGGACATTTTTAGACACGCAAAACATCTAGCAAAATAATAGTAATTATAAAATTTTTTTATCCAAGCACTGCATAATGAATTCCTCGTGATAAATGACGCATTAAATGTCATGGATATTAATAATAAACCTGTGTGAGGTGTCAAAATAGTTACCCGTTGTTGTTCCGAACCGAGTGTGTCGTGTAAGAGGTAAACATTTAGCTTTTAACAAAAATGAAAACTCGTTTTCAGCGTCACGCGATTCTGTCACTTGAGACGGGAGATCCAACCCGCATTTCATTTCTTCCATCGATCTTTCTTAAAAAAAAATTACTCATAATACAAGAGAATCAAGATAAGAATAAATGATATTTACTTACAATATATTATATATAATAAATTATAATTATAACAAAAAAAGTACATTTACACATTTATATATTACAGGAAGGTTCAAATAAATCAATGAAGATCATCATCATCATGAGGGAAGACAATCTGCTGGACCCTCGGCGCATAGAGAACCCTCTTGGTCCAAGGATCAGTATGGAAGATCCTGAATTTGCAGGGCTCGCATCTTGCAGCGTGGATCAGGAAAGTCGCGGATTGCTCCCACCACCTTCTGACATCTTGGCGTCTGGTTTCCCGTACTTGGAAGCTGATAAAACGCTCGTCGCGTGCTACCCGCTCGCTGTATCGCGGACAGGACAATCTAACACTGGAGACAGAGAAACTCTCGCATGATTCATTGTCGATAGATTGCCTGGAATGCCTAGAAGTTCTGCGACTTCCAACTTTCAGCATCGAGGAATGAGTTGGCGCAGTAATGCGATCTAATCTCACTATTTTCTTCTTTCCTTTCCCCTTTCCTTTCTTGAGTTTTTTAATCGCGGTTGGCATGGTGGGTGTCGGAGACGTCGGTGAAGTTTCTTCTCTAGACTGCTGCTCCGGCACCGGGGATTTGGAAGCCTGGGGATTCCCGAAAAGACCTTTTGACTCGGCAACTTTGATCATAAACAACGAGTTGAATTGCATCATTTCTTTCCGCCGAACTACCGCCAGATAACATCCGTCTTCAGCAAGCGGATTGTCGATTACTTCCTTTTGTTCATTATTGTGATGCCCGTACAGCTCGAAAATATTTCCTATCTCGAATAAATCACTGTCAGGCACTTGAACTTGCGGCACTGGAGAGCTTGAGATTTCTTCTTCGTCATCTTCGTCGCCAGAGCTCTTAGTACGGGACTCTTGAAGCAACGGTCGTTTTCCAGATCTCGAGGATCTTCCACCACTCTTAGGGCTAGAGTCTTTAGTGGGAGTTCTCTTACGAGGCTGAAAAAATTCAAACGTTGACAAATTAAAATAAATACGCTTCAAGAATTTATTTTGTAATAAAATCGATTTTGCACGACTTATAATGCGAAGCGTCTCTATTAAGAGTGCTTTACGATTGAAAAAAATTTTTTCGCCTCTTCTTTGCAACTATTATTATTTTTATATATTTCTTAGTTCACGGAACCAAAACAATTTGTATATTATTGTATATTGATAAAAAATAACTTGATTCAAGAAAAAAACTTTTGAACCAACAATATCATTTTGAAGAGTTTAATCGTCTTAAGGGATTACATGGGTTTCCTCGGAGAAAAAATGGTCTATTTTCAACAATTTTTTTTTAATATAAAAAATGAAATATTTTATTCAAACTTTTTACTGTCTTAAAGATACATGTTTAATGAGGGTTTACTGAAATTAAAAAAAAAAAAAATTTATAAGCTCTGCCATTGTAATGTCATTTGCGTCGAGCCCTCGGAAAAAAGATGCGTCCGCATTGACAGCAGAACTCCTAGCAGGATTATTTTAAGTGAAAAAAAAAATTTGTTTTAGTTAAAACTTCAAACTAAGACTTGGACGCAGGAAAAAAAATGAAAATTGGATTTTTGGCAGAGGTTTTTACAAAAAAATGAAAAATTTGGCTAAAATTTCTCGGCATTTTTTTTAAAATAGTTATAATTGAAAAAAGAAAATCCTCCGTTCCAGACCTTGTAAATTATATTTCAAAGACCTGTCTAAAATTTCATCAAGATCGGTTGAGTAGTTCTCAAGAAATCTTGAAACATATAGTTTTGAGAAAAACGCGTTTAAAATTTTGATTGACAATAGTAACTTGAGCGCACAATTTTTTAAAACTGTATCTTTGAAACTATTATTCGGATCGATTTGAAACTTTAGGACAATATTCTACAGATGTTGTAGAATTTAATAAGACATTAAAAAAAAAATCGATTTTTTGAGTAAGACATTTCTTGAATCAATTAAATTAACTTGAACGAAGAGCATTAATTTCTTAGATAAAAAATTTTTTCACTTAATTTAAGATGATCAAACTCTTTAAAATTATATTTTTGGTTCAAGAATTTTTTTCTTGCATCCAGTTAATTTTTTATCAATGTACAGATAATTCAATGAAGATTAATTCTGCGATTTTCAAAAATTAATTCAGTGTAATAGAAACGATAAAGTCATTAAAATAAACTAACAAATTTGTTTCCGTCAAGTAATAAAAAAATTTTTGTAATTTGGAAACACGATAACTCGATAAAAAATTCATTATTTACGTCATTTTTTTTTTTTTTTTTAATAGTCTTACTTTGTTCCTTTTATAGTTGGTGTTTCGCATAGCCATTTAACTTGGTATCGTTTAATTATAATTAATGAAAATCTAAGTTTTTTTTCTGTTTGTTATTTTACATAAAATATTTGAAATAGAAATTACTCCAATAATTGACAATAAAAAATTGTCTTCCTTACTTTACTTTATGAATTAGTAATATATTTTTCATTATTCTTTGAACGTAAAAAGCTGGGCACTTTTTGATTTTTTAAACGTTGTTTATTTTCAGGAGAGAATAAAGCGTGCCTTCAAAGTGAAAACAAAGCTTTGAAAGAAGAAAACTCATACCAAGTGTTCACGAGTGTGCTTGTCAACGGCCATCTTGTTTGCATACTGAACAACCTGCTGAAGCATCTCAACGGTCTCTGAAGGCAAAGTACTGTGTGCTTCATATATGAGTAGCTGAACATTGGGCCTGGTGAGTATGTACTTCAAGCAAGTCATTTGCTCAGCTAATAGTTTACGCGGTCGTTCTAATTGCGCTTGGTCGTCGACGTTAGTCAGCGACTCGAGCAGATCCGTGTCACCTCCTCGTGCAACTATTAGGTCGACTATGTTTGTTAAGCCCGTGTAAGAGCATGGAGGAGTTGCTAATACTACTGTTGAACGCTCCAGTTCTGCGAACCCCGGGGCTGTTTTGTAACTGCCGAATAAATATTATAATTACACTTTAGTTATTTCAGATGGAAAAATTAACATACCTTTCAGAAAATATTCTACATTGCTTTTCATTGATCCCGAGGTTTGCTAAATAAGCTTCGTATTCAGCACGTCTTGATTCTGCGCCAAATGCTAGGAGTCTTCCAGCGTCCTCGATGTCAATTAATAGACCAGCCAAGTACCCAGTATGCCGGGGGGCTATCAGATGTGTCAGGATTATTGGACCGCAGAGATGAGACACACGAATTGTCTTTGCCAATGATGCTGCTCCGAAACACAATGAACGTTCCTGTATTGATTATATCAGTCAATTGTTATATTTTTATAATTTTATTTATATTATACTAAAAATAGCCAATGTTTGAGACTTTTTTTAGCTTCAATGAGTCAATTATAGGCTAAAAATAAGAATTTAAAATTTAGTACATGTCTTCATTAGTAATTTTTTAATTTCTTCCATTAATTTAATATTAATTAGATGCACTGGTAAAAATGCACTGTTTAAATTAAATTTATATTTAATTAAATTTTAAGGGTGTAGTCTAGTTGATCACTTTTGAAAATTTGATTTTATTTTTTACATTTTTCGAACGTATATGTGTCTAAGAATTCCCGAAGATATATATTAAATGTTTCGAGCAAAGGCTCGCAGATTAAATTTTGGTAAGATTTTTCATAATTTTTTAGTTAAAGATCCTTCTGAAATTTTAATCATATATTCTGCACATAAATACTAACAAAATAAACTACCATCATGTTAAAATATTAATTTTTACTATTTTTTTTTTTTTTTTCAAATAAAAAAACAATAAAAAAATTTTTTAAGTTAATTCTAATCAGTATAATAAATATCTATACTTAGTTAAGCTAAACCTTGTATAAATCCTATTGTAAAAAGACTGATTTAAATTGTAACAAAATCGCCATTTATGATCTGTGTCTAGATATTTTAAGTAAATAAATAAATAAATTTTAAAAATTACTACACGGGAAAAAAATTATCTTAATTCAAGAAGAAAAATTCTTAATCAAGTAAAATTTACTCAAATCAACAAACATCCCTCAGTTCAAAAATTTATCTATTTAAACCAAGACCATAAAGATCTTCAAAATAATTTTTTTGATTCAAGAATTTTGATCTCTAATCAAGTTAATTTTTTTTTTTAGTGTATGAATCTGATGTTAATTTCGTAATTTAAAATTATACTATTTTATTAACTTCATTAATTTTTCCAAGAAACATAAGTGAAAATTGTAGAAAGTATTAATAATAATATCAATACTTACCAGAAAAATAAAACGATATTCCCGAACTAAGGTAGATCTAGCCAATTGTTCGCGAATTTTTTCATGAAGAATCACAACTTTCGGACAAATGGGATCGAATGCATAATTATTATCTTTAAGCCTTCGCCAGTTGGCTGATAATTTAAACCCCATTTTGGTCATTTCAGCCATAAACTCTGCTTTAGTTGGAAGTTTAATTGTGTTGACCCATCCTGAAGCGGATGCTTCGTCATCCGTCCAGCAAATTCCTTCATTTCTCAAGTGCGCAGGTAATAATTTATCTAAAACCTTTCACTTGATATGAAATTACCTCTATTTAAATATTTATCAATTATTAATTTAAATTCTTCCAGACAAACCTAAAGTAAGAGCCGAGCCGCCGATCCTCAATCTAGAAACACCAGCAGCAATCTTGATCTTATTTTTCAGCAAAGCTTCTTCAATATCCATCAACCCCGCAGCTTTGAATAGTTCTTGTCTCATTTCCGTGAGAGCAATCTGCGGCGGAGACATGAATTTACGGCCTTGCATATCGAACAAAAGCAGCCAGACAATCCGTTCTCGTTTTTTGAGCTCTCTGTTATTGATCCAGAAGCCCACATCCTCGAGTACTTGGTTCAGAATCTGTTTATCTAAATATTTCATTTATTTTTACCAGGTAAATTAATATCTTTATATTAAAATAATTATTAATAATTACGGGTAAAAAAGTTACGAGATTCCTCCGGTGATCTGCCGGAAATTCTGAGGAATTCATATTTTGTTACAAATCTAAATTTCAGAAGAATTCTCCATGAATTCCGGAAGAAATTGTGTAAGTGATAATTTTAATTAATGCTGCAGTAACAATTGGAAACAAAAATAAATCTAAATATGACATTTTTGATTTACTAGAAACTATTTCCTGTGCAGAATTTCAGCTGGATTTTAGTAGATATGGCTCGGAATAGTTTTCTGTATGTGTTAAGCGTTATGGAAATCCTATGTACTTAACACACTATTGCATAACAGAATCCATTTATAAATGATTCTTGGAGAACTCCGAAGGAATTTCGAAGTAGATTTTTTAAAATTTTGCCAGAATTCGAGAAAGTGGGTTATTTTTTTTTTTTCTTGTCGGATTATTAATATTTTTCACGGGAATTCGGAAGAATTGCGGGGAAGACTCTGCGGACTTTCGTACACTGATAAAAAGATTTCTAAGTATCTAAGAAGATTTCTTTGTTTTTGAGAAATCATTTCTTAATTCATCAGCACTCACGTTAATGAGCATTTTGCTCACGCAACAACATCCGACTTATAGAACGGGGCTGTAGTGCAAGTGAGACACTAAAATTCACGTGAGTTCTGAAGGGTTAAATATCATTTCTTAGTATTTAAAAAATATTTCTCAAATACTAAGAAACACTATAAATATTAAATATTTTTTTTAACTAAGAAATGATGTTTAAGAAATGATTTCTTAAATACAGAGAAATCTTCTTAAGTGTTAAGAAATCCTTCTATCAGTGTAGAAATTTCTGTGGTTTTCAGGCTTGAGGTAAGTAGAGTAAATGTCTTATCGATTTTATTCAGTAATTAATGGAAATTCACAGTTTTATAGATAAATTTGCAAAAATGGGTAACAATTTCGTCCATTCAGTATCAATTACGATAACTTAAGGGTATCCCGAGGAATTTCAGAGGAAATTTGGAGGATTTTCAATGGAATTTTTGCTGATTTCAAACTAGAAATAGATGAAATGAAATTCTTATCAATTATAGACAGTTTTATTCCAATTGTCATTGAAGTTTTTAATAAAATTAGCACTTACGATTTCATCCATAATTTATCGGGGATTCTTCTGGAATTCAGATTTGTGTTAAAATATAAACTCAGGATTTCCGGCAGATTACCAGAGGAATTCCGCAACATTTCGCAACATATTAATCCTAATAAAATATATATTTACAGCGTAAAACGTCGTAAACTAAACCAAACACTCGTCGCATTTCGACTTCATCATTATAAGATGTCTGCTGTGGCAGTGATTCCCCTTGCAGAACTTTTGCTGCATGCAAAATATCGTTCAGTCTCCATCCAGGCTCCATGTAAGCTTCCGTCATCGAACCTTCCGGGCTCTCCAGGCGTCGCAATATTTCCTGGCGTTTGGCTAAATTTTCATTCAAAATATCTGGAGAATTTCTAATCAAGTCTTCCGGATTCTCAGCAATCGGTTCCCATTCCCAAAAGACTTCATCTTTCAGCACTGGACTTTTCACTTCTACATCTATATCTTCATCCGAAATTCTACCCAGTAAATTTACTAATCAATTAAGTAATTAAACTTGAAACTAATAAAAAAGTAATTACTCTTTGTCAAAAGTAGAATCAACTTCACGCTGAAGATCAACAAGTCTATAATAAACTTGGTAACGCCACTCTTCATTACTCGGCAGCACCAATTCATCAAGCTCACTTACACGATCTTCTTCTTCAGTGTGTTCAATAGATTCCTTCCAATTAGACAGCATAACTTTGAATACTTTGGAGTATACTCCAAACAAACTGATCCGTCTTCCTTCTTTCGATTCATTTTCTTCTTCTTCATCTTCTGACTTATCGACACCCATTTATCACCTATCAATTTTTAATCATTGATAATTTAAATAATAATTATGATAAATAAAAAATAATAAAATCACTCATAGGATATTGATATTAAAATAATTAAATAATAAAATTACTTATTGCGATAGTTCTTGATGCCTTGAGCGTCAAAAAGAAACTGCAAGACCTCTTTAGTACTTTATACCATTACGCTCGATACCCAGCGTATAACGTCGCGTGTCAGTAAAATATCTTTATGTACCTGCTCGAAACCTCGTCTCGGATTTTCATTGCGAATAAAGATTTGGCGATATGAGATTCGTGCTTTTATTACTATTCTTCGATTATTTTTTTTTTAATGCTCTATTTATTTTACAGTTTATTTTTCTGGCAAGTCATAACTCGCAAGTGCAAAGTTAAACCTTTAATAATAAAATTTTATATTAATAAACTAAAATAAAGGATTTGTTTTACATAAATTTTAGTTTCTTTTTTTATAAATACGTATGTTACATTTATTAACAATATTAATATACAAAAATAAGTGTAAATATTTCACGCATATATAATTAAATATTTATAAATGGCAGTCTAGTTATTTATAATAAATTAAGAGCACTTGTGCGACTGTTAGTAATATAAAAATTTCTTTTTTAATTTTTGTAACAATTATCTCGATAAATATATAATCGAATCAATTAATATTCTTGTACTTTGTGAATAAATTATAAAGAACCCTGAGAGTTGATTTCAAGTCATGATTAACAATATCTTCAGGCCGGGCTTTAGGCTTCGGGAGGCCGACGTCTTTCATCAGGTCGAAAGCGAAGGAAACGTTGTGAACCTTCTGATCGTGAGTCTTTGGCGATAGATGAAAGCTACCGAGAGGCACAAAGAAGCCCTCCAGAAGACCCAGAAGTAGCGTAAGATAAACTCCGTCGTGGAATTGTGTATCCAGGTCAGTAACTTCAAGATTAAGTTTGCTCAGGTGCTTGTTTACGAAGGACACCAGTGACTTCTTGACGACTGGTAACTTGTCATGAGGATGATCAAAAAGCGTGTCGAATGCGTCACGCTCGCAGCGCATTCCTAGATCGTCGTACGTTGATGTTATCTCCTCTCTGACAGTACGGTGAATCAATTGCCCGTCCTTTTTTTTGACAACCACCAGCTGCACTGCGACACGCTCTGGTAATCTAACTGGCGCGCGATATTGTCGCGCTAATCCCACCAGCAGATGTAATATCGCGACGATATTTTTTGAATGCACTGATTCAACGCTCCACTGATACGGCGGATATCGACCGAGAATACGGTTCGCTGCTGACAAAACAACTTCTAGCTTTTGTTTTTGTCCTTCCTCAGATTGTGTCACTTCTGGTACGTCGAGTTTTTCGCCAGTTAGTTTCTCTAAAATATTTAATTTAACAATTAAATACTTGCAATAAATACTTTTTCAAAATAAAAATGATACTGAAATCAGCAGACGTTTAAAATTTTTTTTTTTTTTTTTTTTTTTTTTTTTTTTCCAATAATTAAATTACACAAAAAGAAAAATTTCTTGACTGGAGGACAAAATTCTTTCTGAAGGAAAACCGAAGTTGTGTTGGTCGAAGTAAAAATTTTTCTTAAAATTCTATTCTTGGTGGAAGTAATTTTTTCTTAATTCAAATTATCATAAATACTTGATACAATAAATTTTTATATTTGATCAAGATTTTTAGATACTTTAGGGAAGCAGCGCCACTTACTTAAGCTGAGAAAAAAATTTTCTCACCTTGAGAAAATTTTTCTCTTAAATATTTGATACCCGTTTTATATTATTTTAGCGTGCAATTATACATATTGAATGAAAAAAAAAAATGATTCAATATTATTTGATATGTTAATCAATAAAAATATTAATGAAAATTTACTTCTATCGAGATATTTAATTTTTTGGATCAAGATACGTATTTCTTAAAGCAAGAGAATTAATTGTTGGAATAAGTGAAATTTCTTGTGTCAAAAAAAATTTTTTTTTCACTCAAGAAAATAATTAGGAAGAAAAAGATTTTCTTGGCTCAAGTGAACCTTTTTTTTTGTGTAAAACTAAAAAAAGTATTTTTAAAAATTGCATTCATAATTTTTCAAATCTTCTACATGTAGAATTTTTTTTTTGGTAAAAATTTTTTTAATAAAATTAATCTTAAAAATGATTGGAAGTCTGCTGATTTAATTATTATAAACAAAAAACAGTTTAGAGTTACCAATTAATTTTTGAATAACTTGTCCGTCGTATAAATCTTCAACAATGTCCTTAACAATAATCCTCTGCTGCGCAAGTTCATCGTTAATCCACTCAATAAGTATAAAAATAAGTTCCTGGAGCTTAGGGTCTTCTAGCGAGCCAGGTTGAATAATTGACCGCTCCTCGTTTTCATCAAGAGTGTAATCCTCCGGTGGCATATCCGGATTAGCAGCGTATCCTGGAGAATCGATAGCATACTTTCCTTCTTCTTGAACTTCTTGGACTGTAAAAACATTGATAAATTAATTAACTGACAAGATAAATTTACTAAATAAAAATCATGGGACCTCTCCTTATATGGACATTGTTTATGATGTTATCGATGACATTGAGTATGAGCAAGTTTTCAAAATAAATCTAAACATACCTTCTTTTATACGCTTTTTACGGCCCAGAGTTCCGATTTTGTCCCAAAAACTTTCCTCCTTGTCTTCTTTTTTTGCTGATAAAGGTGGACGAGGTGATTTTGATCTTGGAGACGCCATAGCTGCACAGAGATTACACAAGATATAAATATATTAACGGTAGGCAGTAGTCACCATCACAGAACAGATGTGTTGGTAGCAGAGAAAGAGGGGACGAGATCAAGACGTCATCATTTCAGAATATAACTCTTGCGTCAGTATACCGTTTTACTATAGTGTATGCATCCTTCTTTTTGTCAATTTATTTATTTTTAAATAATTACCTAAATAAAGAAGTTGAGAAAAAAAAAAAAACTAAATCAAGTTTTCAAGAAAAAAAAATTTTTAATTAACAAAACTATATTGCAATATTTACCTTCGTCATCATTTTCATCTTCGTAAAATTCTGGGACATCAATTACTTGAACTTCATTTGAAATTTCTAACTTTTTAGGAGTTACTCCTATAATTCTAGAACACCTGTCGTTATTTTTTTCTTCTTCTGTGTTTTCGACTTGAAATTGCTGACAGTATTCTTCCGTAATTTTATTACTTTCCATTGTAAAATTTTTAGACTTTACTAATTGATGGATTACTAATAGATGATTAAGAAACTATGGGTTGAACCATTAAAATTATACTGGCATATTCTTATGCTAATCATTACGAGGAAATATAACATCCGGAGATAAGAAAGTGATACTAAATATTTAGTATGCGCGCGATTTGAGTGATTCAAAATTAGCGGGGAAAAATCATGGAAGTTTTGGCGCATGCGCGTTGTATTTTCACTCGGGAGAGTCATGTGTGCTTAGAGGTGTGAATAAAAATTTTTACAGCATTTTTTATTATCAAATAAATAAATAAATAATGGCAGTGTTTTGTATTGCGGAGAGATGTTCAATATCGGCGTTTATTAAAATATCTGGTGTAAGGTATAACTCATCTTCAACGGCTTCGAAAACTGCTTCTACAACTCAAGGTAACCTAACAATGATTTTTATTTATATTTACATTTGTACTTACAATTTTAAATTAAAAAATTAATTTATTATGAAAATTAAGTTAGCCGACAATTAAAAATTTTTAGAATTTTTTTTTATTGAAAAATAATTTTTAAAAAATTAAAACAAAAATTGTCACATGTAGAAAATTTTAAAAATTATCCGTGGAATTTTTTAAAAATAATTTTTTAGTTCTAATTTTTAATTTAAAAAAAAATCAAAAATTTTTTAATGTTGGTTAACTTAATTTTCATAAAAATTTTCACTCGTAAAAAACTTCAAAAACTGTAATATTTTTTGCTCTAATTTAATTATTAAAAAAAAAAATCAAAAAATTAAAAACGTTGGCTAACTTTAGTAATATTAATTGATTTATAACACTGAAGTAGACAGATATAAATAATATTCTTAGAATTTGATGACAATTAAATTATTATAAAAAAAATTTCACATGTGAAAATTAATAAAAATTGCAAGTGAAAATTTTTAAAAGTATTTTTTTGTTGTAATTGATTTGTTATAAAAATTTTTAAAATTGACAACTGACTGCTAACTTCAGTATTACATTGATTTTTAGGTGAATTTCGAGTATTGCAATTGATACCAAAAAAAGAAGAAGTTAAAAGATATGAAAGAAACACAGCAGCTATACCACCGCGGTCAGAACAAATGCCTGTTGATCAAGATTGGCCGTCAGTATGGCCAGGTCCCAGGACGTTTCACCCAGCAGTGGTGCCGTTGCCTATTCGCCAGGGGTATCCTAATAAAAATGAAGCACCACCGAGCAAATGGGGAAATGCGGAGCTGATGAAGATACCCAATTTTTTGCATTTGACTCCACCGGCTATCCAGAGACACTGTGAAGCTCTGAAGCAGTTTTGCACCAAGTGGCCAAAAGAATTAGACACCAATGAAAAGTGTGACCAACACTTTCCAATTGAATACATTTCTTCAGAGTACTGTTACTCGTCGCCGACTATCAAAGATCCGTTGGCGAGAATAGTTACTATGAGAGTCAAAGTATCGTCGCTGAAATTAGACACTCATGCGAGAGATAAATTTTTAAGATTAGTTGGACCTAGGTATGACGAAAAGACGGATTATGTGACAATTGTGACAGATAGGTGTCCTACCAGGAAGCAGAATCGAGATTATGCTGATTATATTTTAACTGCACTCTACCAGGAGTCTTGGGTAAGATAGCTTAGCTTTTTAACTTATAAATAAAATTGTAAAAAAACAATTTTAATTTAATTGAATTTTGTTTACTCTAAAAATTCTTGATTTGTATGATAAAATTATTGACCTGATCTTTATAAAGACAAATATGAAAATTAATTTAGCAGATGTTTAATAATTTTTAGAATCTTTTTGACAAATAAATTATGGCAAAAAAAATGAAAAAAAAAAATTGACATGGAGAAATTTTAAAAAATTAAAAATGCAATTTTTTTTTTAATAATTTTTTAGAACAAATTTGTTCGTTAAAAAAAATTAAAAAATGGTCAAGTGACTGCTAACTTTAATGTCATAACAAAAATTTAATTGAAGAAAATTAAAAAATTCTTGAGATACTAATAATTTTTGATTATAGGTAATGGAACCATGGGAAGCTGAAAAGGCATTAGCAGACATGGAATACTATGACTGGGATAAGAACAAGAGCCGTAATACTTTAGTATCCATTCATGCATGGCCGAATAATCCACCAGAAGACCTTGATTATCAAAAAATTCCGAACGCTACTGAGTACAAAATGGCAGTAACTGATTTAATAAACACCGGAGAAGATCATTTTACTGTTAATAAATACCGTGAATCAGTTAAAAATTTATTACACTTAAAAAAGAGTCAGGGTAGTTCTAATTAATTCAATAAATTTATATTAAAATATGATATTCTTTTTCTTCTTCTTCTTCTTCTTCTTCTTCTTCTTATTATTATTATTATTATTATCGTTGTTATCATAGCTTATAGTAGAATCAAGTTTTGCCCCGTTCCTTTTTATCTGGTACATTATCGAATATTTCCTGAAAAAATGTATCAGTTTATCTAAACTATTGTGACATATTAATTATTCTGGTAATCGAAAAAAATAGACCCGCAAAAAGTAGACCTAGAAAAAATTTTAAAGTTATGATAAATTCATATTATTTCATTAAAATTATTATAAAATAAAAATAATAATAATAATAATAAAATTTTTTAAAAATATAATTTTTATTTTATAATAATTTTAATGAAATAATATGAATTTTTCATAACTTAAAAATTTTTCGGTTGAAATTTTTCCGGGATTCAATTATTTTATTACATACATATTCGTCAAGAGCCTGCATAATGAGTTCTATTGGATCAGGAATTTGGTTACGAGAAACAGATCTGTTGGTGACGATTGTAGGTATCATTGATCGTGACCTGTCAAAGAGTGACATAAATGACTGAAGCAAAAAGGCGAGGAACGCTAATGATGCAAGTACACTTATTGGATCGAATGTTCTATAAAAAATTAATAAACAGTAACAAGATGTTTAATTAACTAATATTTTTATATTATAGGTAACTTACGAGTAAAATGCAGGAGTACCGTAGCCGTAATAACTTCTAGCTAAGTTTGTATCTGAGTCATACCGCAATGCCAGACGTGGAGAATTGTAAGAATGAAATCTTTCAGCAAAACTGCAAAGCGATGAACGACAAGGCATGCTTGGTGACAAATATCGAGAAGAATTGTCTTGGTACTTTTTCGCGAAGCACTCTGAAATCAATAGCACACCGATAATTAATTTAATATGCATTATAAGTTCGTCATGATCTGGTCTTTTGCACTTGAAATTTGTTTGTGAACTGAAGACACTGTGACCTATTTTACTTTTATAAAGCTTCGGACTAAGAAATGCTCCAGTAAATTCTATTACTCTTTATTTGACTTGATTACGTATGATTCTTTGAACAATTCGTGAGCTTCCGCCATGACGAATGCAATTTTCTTAAAAAGTAGTTACTAGTAAAAAATAATAAATTTTATTTTGATAACTAAATTTGGAGAAGAAAGCATAGAAAATTATTTAATAATAAATTTCTATTTTATTTAAAAAAACATTTTTTTTTTTTTTTTTTAATTATATCTCATTAAAACTTTATTTAAAGTCTCTAGTAACACCTCAATAGTGTATTTGCTGGCATTAATTACCGCAACTGAGACAATTTTCATAGTGGTATTTTCAACTGCAATTGACGTCGCTGCGTGCGGATACAAAATACAAAGAGACCGCAGTTAAAAAGTCTGTCAATGAAAAAACTAAAAAGCTGTCTGAACTTTACAATAGCTCATAGAGAATAGAGTTCCTCATTACTCATTACTGTATAAATTGGTCGCATTATCAAAGAGCTTTCAGTGAAATTCGACGTTGAGTTGATATGCGCTTTTAACATCAATATGAGTGGTATATTGTGTACTTTATTGTTATCAAACGAAAATAAGTATTTTTACATTTAATTGCTTTTATTAGTAAATAAAAATTAATAATTTTTATTTTAATTTCTATAGTGATCATTATCCTGACTGTAACGGAGGGTCATTACAGCATCAGTAATTATTTGCAGTATACAATCTCATTGCAATTACTCTAATTAAGGGATACGCTATGGTTATCCATGCTTACAAATATCGTCAACAATAAGCGCGTAGTACCAGTAATTAATGATGTTATTACTTTTGTTGATTAATTGATAATTTTATACATATTTTGAAAACCAGAATTTCAAAAGCACTGTATAAAAATTTTTTTATTCACTATTAATAATTTTAATGGAGTTTAAACTTGTTACTATTAATTACTGACAATTTAAAACTCAATAAAAATAATTTCAAGTTGAAAAAAAAATAATTTTGAATTTTAAAACAGTAGTCAAGAATAAAATATTTTATACATTAATTATTTATAAAATAATTTTTCAGTAAGTTAAATTAAAATCTGTACATTTCATATTTTGTAACAATATTTAATACTAATAATTTAAGCAGCTTATGCTTTTACATTGATAAATAAATGAAAATAATTAATTCACGCGCAATACATTGTGTCGTGAAAAAAATTAAAAAATATTGTTTGTAGTTGTTAAATTCACAATGATATAAATTTATCAAAAATGTTAGCCGGAGCGTCAAAACATGATGAATTAAGACAGCCAGTTTCTTTAGGTGAAATAATACTCATCCGAGAAAATTAGATAATTTATTGTCAATATAATTCATTTAATTGAATTTATATGACAGTAAAGTTGGCAGTCATTAGAGAATTTTTTAATTTTTTTTTAAATTAATTTGTTCTAAAAAATAATTTAAAAAAAATTGTATTTTTCATTATTTTTAATTTCTACATGCCAATTTTTTTGCCATTATTTATTTGTTAAAAAAATTTTTAAAATTATTTAATATCTGCTAAATTTATATATTTTTATTATTTTTCAATGGATTTAACAGAATGGAGCTTAAAAATTATCATCGGCAGACATTCCAGTACGCAGCGATTCCGTTAATTCAGAGCTAAGTAAATCCGGGTAGCACTACGTTAAATTCTAGCTGTTGGACAGGAAAAAAGCTAGTCAAACAGTAGTTCTTTATCTGGACAAAGTGTAATCAGCGAGCCACCGGTCCTTCTTGGAGGTCTTGGAATTTTTTACAAAGAAATTATTTCGCTAAAATAAATTGCTTCTAATTATACTATTCATGGTACTCAGCAAGATTTTTTTATAATTACGACTCTAGTGGAGTATATTATTCCATAGATCTAGATTAATAAAATAAATTATTTATCAGATAATTATCAAATGACATTAAAGTTAGTTAGCAGTCACTTGAGAATTTTTTAATTTTTTTTAACAAAAAAAATTGAATTTTTAATTTATTAAAATTTCTACAAGTCCATTTTTTTAACAATTTTTTTTTGCCATAATTTATTTATTAAAGAAAATAAAAAAAATTGTGAAATGACAGCTAAATTTAATGTCATAATTAACAAGTATTTAAATAAATACTATATTAATAATAGTTAATGATATTATTATATAATAATATTTATTTAAAAAATAAAATTAAACAAGCTCTATATTATCGACAGATAAAATTCGCGCGTGTCAGATCAGTTTGGCCTTAGCAGCCGAAGCTGTCTTATCAAAACAATTCAATTATATACATAAATTGCACAATATAAATCATTAAAATTAATTAAAATAACAGTAATAATAAAAACTGATCAACGTGTCCTGGAATTAATGAACCAACAAAAATATTGACAACTGTTTCCGGTAACGATATGTAGAAGAGGAACAAACAAAAAATGATAAGGTTATCACGTACGTTGCCATAAAATTTTTTTATTAAATGTAACTATTTTTAAGTATAGATGTATGGATACAAGAAGTCTGAGCCACGTTAGTGTCAAGAAGGCTTCGGAGACATTTGGCAGTTTTAATATATAATAACGGTGGTTAATTCTCAAGATGCAAGTGAGTGAGCATGCCATGTGGTACCGAGTTTCATCGGCGCTCTTCTATGGAATCGCTTCTTTTTTGATAACTGTGATCAACAAGACGGTGCTGACAACCTACAACTTTCCATCATTCCAAGTCCTAGGTCTCGGACAGATGGTATCCACGATAATTATTCTGTACGTCGCTAAAAAACTCCACTATGTTGACTTTCCTAACCTAGAAGCGTCAACGATACCTAAAATATTTCCACTGCCGATAATTTACATCGGAAATATGATCTTCGGTCTCGGAGGAACCAAGCAATTGAGCCTGCCGATGTTCACTGCGCTGAGGAGGTTCAGTATCTTGATGACGATGGTCGCTGAGTACTACATGCTGAGTATAAAACCTCCGATGCCTGTCCAGCTGAGTGTCCACACTATGATAATCGGAGCCGTAATCGCAGCTTGCGATGACCTTGCGTTCAATCTAGAAGGATACATATTTATTTTTGTAAACAATATCTTCACAGCGGCTAACGGAGTTTACACCAAGAAGAAATTGAACTCCAAAGAGCTGGGGAAGTACGGATTGATGTATTATAACTCGTTGATAATGATCGTGCCATTGACGTTGGTTGCTTGGTGGACGGGCGACATCAACAAGGCCATGCAGTTTAACCACTGGACTAATTTGTTATTTATTTTGCAGTTTAGTTTGTCCTGTATCATGGGCTTTATTTTGTCCTACAGTGTTCTGCTATGTACATTTTATAACTCGGCTTTAACTACCACAATTATTGGTTGTTTGAAAAATATTACTGTTACTTACTTAGGGATGGTTGTCGGTGGTGATTATATTTTTTCATGGTGGAATTTTATTGGTTTGAATCTCAGTGTCGTCGGAAGTTTAATGTATACTTGGATAACTTTTAAGCCTAAAGATATTGTAGAGCCAAAATACTCGCCGATAGTTACTACGCCAAGTAAAATTCAAGTTATATGATTTGTTTTTATTTATAAGTAAATACTGTGTCATTTATGTTAATTAGTAATTACTAAGTAATAATGCATCAGCGTTTGGATGTATTTTTTATCATTAGTTTTTATTTTAGTTTACTTATTTTGTAATGAAAAAACTTTAAATTAAAACTCCTACCGAGTTGTTTATGTAAAAATTCTTTGTGAAAAAAAGCTCTACTCAAACTCGGTTTATGGAATTTTAATTTAAAGTTTTAAAAAGTCTACGCTTGAATTTAAAATTTTTTTTGACTATTTTATTTAATTGCATCACTAGATTATTGTAAAAAATTAGATGGCAAAAAAAAAATTAATTTAAACGTAATCGGAACAAAAAAAATGATTTGAACAAAATAATTATTTGAAATTATTATCACTGTAAATTATAATTATTTATAAAAGAAAGCGGAAAATATAATTAGTGAGTAAAGCATCTCGCGGGATTCGAGAAGTGCCATTAATTTAAGAATCTATGTACATTAATATTAATGATGATTAAGTTTCGCAACTACCTGATGGCGAAATATAAATTAGTATTTAGCGAAACCAAAGCTCTATTGTATAGTATTTTATACGATATAATAATAAAAAAGAAAAAGAAAAAGAAGAAAAAGAAAAAAGAAACAGAGCCTTTAGTAATATTTAAATGGCGTTGATCACGTGTATGAATTTGGATATAAATAAAAAATATTTGATAAACTGTAAAAAGTATTATTGGTTTTATTTTCAAATCCTTTAATTTGTATTGTATTATTGATTTCAGGTACATTGTTGAGAAGATACAGCACAGCCGGGGGTAATGAGTTTCCAGAGTTTTATACCAAGAACCATGTAGAGTTGACGAGTCTCCAGCGCGCAGTTCTCGCTGGAGGTTCAGCTATTGTCTCACTAATAGATCCATCACGCGGCGATATGATTGCATGTCTCGGCGAAACAACTGGTGTACAGGCGTTGAAATATTGCCAGCAACGTATGCTATTATCGCCGGAAGGTGCTAAAATACTGGCAGATAAGCCGCGTATCAATACAGTCACTGTCGATTTCTCCAAACTGAAAGAGCTGCCTGATGGTACGCTCGGCAAAACTTATTATGATTTTTTAGTCATTAATGTAAGCTTTAATTAAATTGTTATTATTATTAAAAATAATATTTAATATTTATTAGGGTGGCGCAAAAAGCCGACTATTTTTTTTTTTAGTCTCGAGTGAAGAAGTGTTAGTTTTTGATGTTTTAAGAGCTCTCTCCAAAGGACAGCTTAAAAAAAAATTTTTAAGAGGTCGCTCCAAATTTTTTTAAATTTCAAAAATCGTCAAAAATCGAATTTTTTTTTAAATTTTTTTTCTCGTTACGTCATAATTTTATAGACCAAAAAAAAAGGTTTTCCTGAACGTTTCAGTTCATAATGTGAATTTTAAAAGGTCGCTCATAATTTTTTTTTAATTTATTAGTGACTATTTAATTGGATTAGCATTTTTTGACTCTGAAATTTAAAAAAAAAATTATGAGCGACTTTTCAAAATTTAAATTTTGAATTGAAACTTTCAGGAACTTATTTTTTTT